TAGTCATCAAAATAGGGTATACGATAGCAATGTTTGGTTATACTGCTGCTTTATGGCACGTATACTATTGTAAATCATGCGCATATGTTGCCGTATACGACGCGATAACATACGAGCTTAAGACGGTTATAGCCAAACGCCTGATTTACGACTCATGTTTAGAGGTGTTAGCCGATCATTTGATCGGCGGCGGCGGCGGAGAAGTTTTAAGGCATCGGCGCGGCGGCGAGAAACTCTCGCCGAGGCGGTCATTTTCGGCGGCGGCGATAACAAAATTTTTCCTATGTTATTTCACAGAGTCTTTCGTAGATCCCTACCGTTAAGACAAACATTAGACATTCTTTTCTCACAGAATTATAACGCTGTTTGCTTCTTAGCACGCTAATGTCTTTTTATGGAAAAATTTTTCCACTAGATGTAACTTTATTTTCATTGATTCAAAAAATTCACATTGTCCCATCATAAAATAACTTCAAACCACAATATATAAATATCAATACCAATAAANAGTTCATTGCTGTTAACTGTTACTATAGTAAACGGCAGTAGCAGCAACTTTTTACTGAGCCGAAGTTGAGATGGATAGAACTTTTGTCTATTGAACCGAATCGACCATTTCAAATGTAGAATTGAATCGACGAAAAGCCAATTCGTTTTATAAAATCTATTAAACAATTAGTTCTTTCGAGAAAAGTTTATTACTACAGCTGGTATAAAGGTATAAGAATAAGAACGAGGTTCTAAGGCTATTCATTTATTGGTATTGATATTTATATATTGTCGTGAAAGGATTGGTGTGGGATATATTTATAAACAAATAGCGTTCAAGGTATGGAGATTTATTTTTATTTATTGTTGAGGCTTTGATTCAAGATGTTTTTTTTTTAAAGTGGATTATGTGGACAAGTAGTCATCAAAATAGGGTATACGATAGCAATGTTTGGTTATACTGCTGCTTTATGGCACACATACTATTGTAAATCATGCGCATATGTTGCCGTATACGACGCCATAACATACGAGCTTAAGACGGTTATAGCCAAACGCCTGATTTACGACTCATGTTTGATCGTAGCGTTATCGTTGACTGTCACTTATGGCACCTTAAACGACAGTAAACAGTGTTTTATGATCATCGTAATGATGGGTTTGGGTTAAAATATTTACATTTTTCTTCCTCTTCTAGAGAGGTATCACATATCCCGGCAATCGTGTATGCTAGAGAAGTATAGGGAGACACGGGGTAAGCCAAATAATCCATTAATAGCCGATTACATCATGCGTGTTTCCGTGTATGTTCGCGTTTTCTCTCTCACTCATACCCGTGATATGTGGCTGTGTGTGCTTGTGTTTCGTTCCTTATCGTCGTTGAAGAGATATGCTTAGCGATGTCAAATCTCATCTAGAGGTGCTTGGATATGCAGTATCTCCCGCTTGGATCCTTAGTTAAAAATAACAACAAAGTTTTATCGGGATATGCTGAGAGATGTCGATACGAGAGATGCCGCATCTCTCTACACTTCTCCAACATCCCGATTTTCTGGATATGTGCCACTGGTGCTCTTCTATTTTAGAAGGAAAGCCAAAGAATGCAATAGCTTTCTTTTCTTTTCTGAAAGCAATAGGAAAATGAATGTGAGACTCCTCATGCTCAACTCTACCTTGTTCTCTCCATCGTCGAACATAAAAAGTATAAAAAAATACTGTAGATGTGACAGTATAATGTGAAGGGAAGTCACTTATTTGCTCACATCCCTACACTCAAAGAAAAAAAAGTCGATGATAAAGATTTTTCTTGGCACATTTTCTCTTTATTGCCACGGTTGAAATATTTCTGAGTTCTCTCTGATAGCAAGAACGATATTAAATATCAACGTTCATGATTTATTTTTATTTTATTTTTATATTATTTGGGATATATTTAAATAGCAGCTTTCTAGCTTTATGTAATTCACTAACGAGGGAAGGTCCCCAAGTGTGAGTCTCCGTTTCGAATCGGGTATTTGTTATTTTGTAGAGCTCAATGAGTACAGTACCCGTGTATAAAGGATTTCTGCCCATGGTGAACTTTTCAGGAACAACGAGGTTCCATACCTTCTGAAAAATCAGCATAAGACTCGACTGAAGGCTTGAATTTTAATATTGTAAGGACAAAACATAGTGTTGTTCAGGCCAATCGGTGGTTATCAATGATGCTCTTTCATATGGCCCGAATAACACCATGTTTTATTCTTATAATAGTAAAGTGAATTTTTTTTGGTGTTTGGTAGAAAACATTGTTTTCTATGAGCTATAGAAAAATTAACTCTACTATTATAAGGACGGAACAAATTTTTATTCGGGTCATATAAAAGAGCGTCCTTGATAACACCAGATTGGCTCGAACAACAGTGTGTTCCGTCCTTATAATAGTAGAGTTAATTTTTCTATAGCACATAGAAAACAGTGTTTTCTACCAAACACCAAAAAAATTCACTTTACTATTATAAGGACAAAACATGGTGTTATTCGGACCATATGAAAGAGTATCATTGATAACCACCGATTGGCCTGAACAACACTATGTTTTGTCCTTACAATATTAAAATTCAAGCCTTCAGTTAAGAGTCTTATGCTGATTTTTCAGAAGGTATGGAACCTCGTTGTTCCTGAAAAGTTCACCATGGGCAGAAATCTTTTATACGCGGGTACTGTACTCATTGAGCTCTACAAAATAACAAATGCCCGATTCGAAACGGAGACTCACACTTGGGGACCTTCTCTCGTAAGTGTAGCTTCTACAATATTTTATTTTTAATTTGAAGTCATGTCATTTTCCACAAAATACAGTACTACGAGCAAGTAATGTATGTTAGTGGCACTTTTTCTCAAACGTAAAAAGTGAAGCAAAAAGTAGCAATTCGAAGAGTCTTATTATTAGAAGCTTACGCTCATTGACTGAACCAGCGTATCCCCATAAAAAGGAACAGATGGTAGAGTTTTCAAAAACTTTCAATCCCTAATATAATTTTTCGATAATATTTTTTCTCGCAAAACATATTATTCAAAACACTTTTGTGGAATTTACATATATTTTCGAAGAAAATAGTGAGTGTAAGTTTTAAGGCCAAGTTATCGTGGCTTCTCCACCCATCTCTTTCCTTCCCCATTATAGACCTTAGCAATCGAGAATAACAGGAATCAGATTTTCAAGAGTTTTTTTATGCAAAACGGATCAAGTTATAATTTTAAAAAATAATGAATATCATTATTTGTGAGTTAGTTAATATATATGATAGTGCGTAAGATCTGTTGTAAAGATCTTGAATATGTAAAACAGACTTATTTGTCAATTAGTTCAACGATTATAACAATAAGAATGCTAAATTAAGAAAAAAGGAACTTAAAAAAATGAAAAATAATCGGCTAATAGCAATAATGAAAACAAAAAATAGGGTTCCCATAGAAAACAATAAAAAATTCTGTTCGAAATGCAGAAATTACAAAGGTTCTTACTTCAGTGATTGATCATCCTGCAAAACAATAATAGTCTATGAGAGGTTTTTTTTTTTACTTCATGTTTTTTGTATTAGCTTAATGAGCCTAAAGAGTATTGTGAGTTCCACATTTCAGCCCAAAAAGGGGCTGCACTAAAAAGTTTTTGTTGAAGTAACTTAGTTGTAAAATATGTGTCGAAAGTTTTTGCAGAAAAATATTTCATTAGTACGGATTTTCGTCAAAAATTTTGGTCGAAAAGTACTTCGTCAACTGAATGTTTCGTCGAACGCTAGCTACTTGATTGTTTTTTTTCTTTCGTCAACATATCCAGATGAACACAGAAAGAAGACTAAAACAAAGATTCGTCGAACGCAAAAACATGTCAAAAATTTAACTGTTCGGTATACATAGAAGCAACTACACTCTTCAGGCCCCTCACAGGTCTTTTTGTTTGATCGTAAAGAAGAAATAGGAAACGCACATGGTTTTTCTATTTAGATATTTTTCTATAGTTTGACGTTCTGTTGTTGTATTTATTTCGTTTGCATTCTTCAATAGGCAGACTGCATAACATTTATTTTTTACACTTCGTTTATTACATAAAAATGGAACTAAAACCATCTTATAATGATCCACATTTTTTGACGTTATTTTCTCGACAAAGTATTTTGTCGACAGAATTATCTTTCGACCAATATTGTGTGAAATAAAATTTTACTATAGAAACCATTCAGCCTGTAGCATACTCCCTGCTGTTGTCTGATTTTTCATCATTGTTTCCTCGATAGTTAATTTTCTCTTGTTCTATTTGAAAAGTTCTTGCAATTAAGCTTTTAAGAACTCCTCGAAAAGTTTAAGTCACCACTACCTACAGACAAACAAAACCCGAATATTTTCAGCTGCTACACCAAAGAAGAAACTGAAGTAATACTGAACTATGCCATTTACACCTATCTATGTATGAATTTACATCTTTGGTTGTAGAAGCAGAAAAATGGGAACGGGAATGTGAATTGAGAAATAAGAAAATTTGTAACTCGCAGGAAACCAATACTTATCCTTCTCTTTTTAGAATATTTATCTCGTGCACACTTATTCTGATAGGTTTGTCTTAAAAGCACAAGCGGCGACTTCAGTCAAATCTAAACAAAAGTATATGATATATATGAGGGTGAACCTTGCTTGTTGAAGATTCTGTATCTCAAATGCTGTTTACGTCACCCGTATTCCTGTTTTTATTTTTACCCATCGTGTTATGCATAAATTTTGTGAATAAACCTAAACTCCAGAATGGCTGGCTGTGCTTGGCTAGCTTATTTTTTTATTTCTGGGATGAAAAATTGTATATCATCATTATGCTCATATCGATATCTATAAACTATTTGAGTGCACTCGGAATGGTCTATTTACGCACCAAGATGGATGAATCAAAAGTTCGTTGGCTCCTCGTTGTTTCGGTTTCTGGCAATTTAATTCTACTGATATTTTTTAAATATACCAACTTTCTTGTGGAAATTTTAAATATGATTACCCTGCAACCAGTAAAACCTGTTATAAAAGCTCCTTCAGTTCATTTACCACTCGGTATCTCTTTTTTTACTTTCCATGGACTCTCCTATATCATTGATGTCTACCGAAAAGAAGTTCAAGTGGAATGGAATCCAGTAACACTAGGATTGTATTTTTCATTTTTTCCTCAATTAATAGCTGGCCCTATTGTGCGATATCACGATGTTGCACAACAGCTCATCGAAAATCGGGAATTCAAACGTAAAGAATTTGCACAGGGTGTAGTAGGATTCATACTTGGTCTCTCAAAAAAGATGCTTATAGCAAATACAGTTGGTGCTGTGGCAGATACAATCTTTACTTTGCCATTTGAAAAGCTCGACGTGTCTCATGCATGGATTGGCTTGGTGACTTATACATTACAAATATATTTCGATTTCTCAGGTTATTCCGACATGGCTATTGGTCTTGCGCATATGTTTGGCATTCGATTTCTTGAAAATTTCAACTATCCCTACACGTCCCGATCAATTAAAGAATTTTGGAGACGATGGCATATTTCACTTTCAAATTGGTTTCGCGATTATTTATATATTTCACTTGGTGGTAATCGCGTTTCAGAACGTCGAGTCTACTTAAACCTTTTGACGGTCTTTCTTCTTTGTGGTCTTTGGCATGGTGCCAGTTGGAATTTTATTATTTGGGGTCTATTTCATGGACTGTTTTTAGTGTTAGAACGAACAACCATATTCACATGTGTACTACAAAAAATACCGATAATCTTTCAACATTTATATACACTGACTATAATTTCGTTTGGATGGGTTTTTTTTCGATCACCTACTCTGAAACATTCTATCGGGTTTATTAGAACTCTACTCGGATTACACTTACGTCACGGTCATATGAACATCCCAGTAAAGCAATATCTTGACGAAAAAATTGTATTAGTAATAATTCTCGCTATATTTGGATCGTCTGGTATTCTTTCTGCATTGATTCATGTGCTAAAAGACACTCCTAAATGTCTTTCAAACAAATATGCCCGAATATTTGCAAATTCAGTTCTAACTTTTTTCTGGATAGTCACATTTGTCAGTCTCTTTCTGTTCTCTATCATGACTATATCAAGTGGACTCTATAATCCTTTTATTTACTTTAGATTTTAAGAGAAAAATAAAAACTTCGTATTTCATTATTATGGATTCAAATATTCAACGAAGACGAATATTGTTAGACTGGGTGATCATTATTCTTTTTCTATTGTTTATTTTACTTCCTGAGCTAAACAGACAATTTCTAATTATTCCTGATATTACATCGACAGAGAAGCGAACATTAGCTCCTCGCCCAGCTTTTGATATCCGAAAGATTGATGATTTTATCAATAAATTTAACTTGTTCTATAATGATCACTTCGGATTTCGCGTACGACTTGTGGCTGCAAACACTCGTCTACATATCAGTTTGTTTGGAATATCAGATGTTCGACGCGTCGTTATTGGTAAGCGTGGTTGGTTGTTTATTAATAAGTATGAACCAACGGATCCGAAGACATTTTGTGGTTGGCAAGGATATAGTCCTTATTCTCTAAAACAGCTAATGACTGTACAAAGAAATTTGGAAACTGAAGATAGGTGGTTTACTCAACAAAATATTACTTTCCTTATTCTTCCGTCTCCTGACAAGCATTCCATCTATTCAGAATACTTACCGTGGAAATATGGCACTGTCGTTGGCTCAAGTAGACAGGCACAGATTTTCGAGCATATAAAATTACATTCAAAGCTCCAGCTGATTGATGTAAGACAAACACTGTTGACAGCAAAGAAATTGTATGGATTGGACACATACTTTAAAACTGACAGTCATTGGAACAGTATCGGAGCGTTTTTCGCCTATGAGGAAGTAATGAAAAGACTACTCATCGTCTATCCTGAATTTGTACCTCATCGCTTTGACGATTTTGTTCCAGATCAAAGGTTGAAGCTAGTAGGAGACCTAGCTAAAATGGCTAATTTAGATGTGTCTCATATTTTAGAGCATCAACTTGTTCCAGAGCAAAATGCTACTTACAATAGCATGGGCCCAAAAAAAGACAAGATACTCTTCCTTGGTGACTCGTTTTCGTTCTTTCTCTTCCAAGATTATTTCAAGCGACATTTTAACGATGTCAAATATATTAGAACTGCAATCAGTGCTACATCCCAATTGAATAAAGATGTAGTTTTAAAATACCGACCTAATGTAGTCATTTTCCAATCGACAGAACGTTACTGGACAGAAATATGAATGTGTTCGCGCAATATATTACACATGAAGTCTGTACTACCTTAATAAAAGTGCAGGCAGAGTTCAAGACTTTTCAAAACTGCTCATAGAGAAATTTTTGGCCTATTGCAGACAATGTGCTCTAGAACTAGTTTTGGGCAGTCGTGCCATAATTTCTGATTTTTGAAAGCTTCTCTGCTTTTCTCTCTCTCTCTCTTCTTCTTCTTCTTTTTTTAATGAACATGCTTGAATTGTACTGACCGAAACCTTTGGATATGCCACTGTATTTTCTAGCACCCCTTGCCTCTGTTTCTTCTATCATCCTGATTTATTTTTATTTGTGGGTGTAGGTGTGGGTGTGGGTGTGGCTGGGGTGTGGGTGCGGATGTGGGTGGGTGTGGGGTGTTGGTGTGGGTGGGTGTGGGTGTGGGGTGTGGGTGTGGATGTGGCAGTGGATGTGGGTGTGTGGGTGTGGATGAATATGTGTTTATGTTAGGGATAGAGAGAGAAAAGAGGTTGAAAGGCGAGGAAGGAAATGAGGNAATTCACTCTACTATTGTAAGGACAGAACATAGTGTTGTTCGGGCCATATGAAAGAGGGTCCCTACAAACCCCCTAATCGCCCCGAACAACACTATGTTTTATCCTTATAATAGTGGAGAAAACCTTTCCTGATTCATTTTTACACCTAAACTTAAAAGTTAAATATCTCCCTCTAGGCAAGCCAACAGCCGCTAATATTTTAACCTTGTTAGTTTGACGTTGAGAGCTTTCATTTGACCCGAACATGTGCCACTTTTTCGCTCAACAATACACATACCTCCATTGTAAGATATAAAACTATCAAGGTATAGTTCCTTTTTCATAAATAATATATATAGTATGTATGTTTTTCAAAGCTTCGTATCTTAGAGAGATTTTGTTCAAAACTCCTGAAATTTTTTATGCAAGCTAGTCTAGTTGAGGCCTTTATGCAGGCAAAGTTTCAGGTCAAAATTGGAAAGTATAGATTTGCTGCCAACGTAGACGTACTCTAAAGAAAACTCAGTAGGAGCTCGATATCTCCCCCAAAACAAGCCAGAAACCCGAAATTTCTTTACCACAGACACAGTTCACTATGGACTACAAGATGCGCGAAATCCCGGATAAAAAGCGCTCGGACACCTGAGAATGTTCCCTCGTTAGCATAAAGTTTAGATTTGCTTGAAGATTTTGTTTATTAAGGTAATTGCAGACAAAAGTTTAGAGTAATTGTATTTTTAAGTTATCTTCTCAATGGTAATAAAGAGCAAGTATCTGGGGAAAAAATTTTGTAGCTGAAAGAATTCTTTGTTAAAATTGATAGATCCGCAGACTTCTGCAGAACTGCTTGAATGAGAACCTTTGTTCGAGCAAGATTTCTAAAAACAGATTTCTGACTTCCATTCGAAGCTTTTTTTCATACAACAAATCATTCTGAGCAATATGATCAAACATAGCAAAAATATTGAAATTTCTGATAAAAAGAAGAGAAAACTGCTTTTTGAGCCGTCTATAAATTGCATGCGATTCATTGCACGAAAGTCATGAAGACATTGGAGATGTATCATTTTGCTCAGAATTATTTGGTCCATCAAATATAATCTTTTTCCAAAAGTTTCGAAACGAAGCCAGAAAACTGATTTTAGAGGTCTTAACTTCCGTAGATCCTCATCCAAGCAGTTTTACTGAAGTCTTCGGATCTATCAATCCTAATATAGAATCCTTGCAGTTACACAAATATTTTTCTCAGCTTATTGTTAACTATTACCATCGAGAAGAAAACGTAAAAATACAATTGCTCAAAACTTATACGCGCCACTATAATATCTAATTTAAGTGAAACACTTGAAGTTGGAACATACTGATTCTTACCATACTTATTAAGTTCTCTCCTTCTGATAAGAATCGCAATTTTTCGTCAAAAAAATTGATTTTGAGTTTTTTATGTGTTAAGATAGTTCTCGTTGTCTACTTTCGAATACAGGGTGTGATTGTGAATAGTAGAGCTGATTGTAGATGGTTGACATACGTAATCGCACCTACACACACCTAAATCTCATATATTTTTCTGTTCTAGTTTCAATCTTTTAGACGCTGTACAAGCACGTGGAAGTCTTCATTGGATCTACGATAATTGATAACACATAGTAGACTACGATCAATGTATTTCCTCTACCGTTTTACTAAACAGAAATATTGATTTCCAATTACAAAGTTTGTTTGCTGTTTTTATTAAAACGAGCTTTTTATTGATTTTTTCTACTTGTACGTTCCTGATTTTTCAGTCATTTTACTTGTGAAGGATTTGAGAAAGACTTTAAATTGAAGAGAAAATTGTGGTTCACAACTGAATAGAGTCAGATTTTTTATTTTTGACTTAGTTTTCAAGAAAAACAGATCTTTTTCCAAAGCACTATTGCTATTGTTTCGAGCTTTTCGGAAAAAATTGATAAAGAAGAATTTGAAAAATTGGGTTGTATTAATTTATGACGACAAGTGTTGGCTATATTTTGACACTAACCCGAGATTTGTTTTGTTAGATTTGGGAGAGAAATCTGAAACACAGGGAGACTTACTTTTTTACCGATAATATAGGGATAACGTTTGAGCATCTAAATATTTTGGCTGACATTTTTACTAAAATTTTTCTAGGTTTCAGTCCACATTTCCTAAAATTTTCAGCTAGATCGATTGTTCTGGAACGAAAATAGATTCCTGACAGGGAAGGGGCTTAATTGGTCAGAAACATAAAAAATTCTTTTGCAATTGATACTACGTTTATACTTAATGTCATAAATTTGATAAAAATAAAAATTACTTATACTTTATTTTAAATACAGAAAATCTTAATATTGTATTACGATATGTATACAAATACGCATACATACATGGAAGTCTTTGTAATATAAGATTAATCTTCTTGCTTAATATAATTAAAGGTTCGAAATATACGTCTCAATATGCTTTTATACTCATTGATACTTGCGTATATATTTTTTTATATTCTAAATAAATGGTACATCTAGTTTTTATGTTCTGCATCTACATATTTAATAAATGATACTATTTAATTATTTATAGAACCTAATCTAATAGTTTCTGTGGTGTGTTTTCAAAATATCTGACTACAATTGATCAATGTTTTATACATGATTAGAATGCTTTCAGAAGACAAAGACATATCATTGTATAGCGAATATAATAAATATGTTCACTCATCATGTTTGTAATTCTATTCCTGATAAATTTATTATAAAATAATTAAAATTTACAATGTAATATTTCATAGTTGCAAACAACTTCTTCAGACAATGTTAAAATGCGAGTATCTACAATCTAATTAATAGGATAATGACGATGATTATTCATTCTTGTTCTTCAGTTTATATTTAAATAGTGACACGAAATATGAGAGTTATCTAGTTGTTATCGTTGCTATCTTATTTCCATATCACTAGCAAAGTTGGACTAAATAATAAAAAGAATGAATATTCATTGTCATTATCCAGTCAAACAAATTAAAGATGCACTCATTTTAAAATTATCTGGAGAAGTTGTTTTCAACAACAAAATGTCACATTGTAAATTTTTATTATTTTATAATAAATTTATCAGGAAGATAATTAAAACATGACAAATAATTACATCTAATACCTTCTTCATAAGACAAGAATAAATATATTACACATAGGCGTTGACAATTTCGAAAATACATTATAAAGATTAACATTTGGTTGTGCTTATTCATTAGTAAACGAAGTAAATTCCTATCTACAACTAATATTTTGGATGTAATTAAGCATCTCAAAAGACTGAATCTATGTTTATAAAGCATGAATATATAATTAGTGAAATGTTAAAAAATCATAAAATCAAGAAGATTTCCATTGAATAGTAAAGTACTGACAATTCTTCTTGCTAGTAGCGTGATTATAAATAATTATTTTTCTATCGTTACTATTCATTAGATAATATTAAAAAGGATAGATTGTGTGTGACATAAAACTCTGAAAATATATTATGAATGCAGGACAAATGTCGGAATGTCTACTATTCTACGTTGACTATAGTATAAAATTATATTGAATGTTCATTTTGCGATATAAAACTATTCAGTCAATCTCAAATAAAAGATAACTGCTTATCTAAAGTATATATTGATATAGTTCAAGAGTAATAAAAATTTTTTGTTTTCAAGAACTTACATTGATGCTAACGTAATTACAATGTTGGATAAATGATTCGAAAAATATATAATAAATATAATAAATTTACAAACAATTGAATAAAATACGATTAAATCAATATGAAAACTATATGGTAAATGTTCTATCGTCATTGTTGATAAATGTATTGAATCACTTATTGCTAATATTAAAAAATAAAAGCAACATGATTTACGACCTATTCAAATAAAATTTTGTTTTATTTTGAAGAAAAAACAAAATAATGATTTAATTACTTACGAAGAGGTTTTCTTGTGAATACACAAATACTTAATAATGTTGATACAATTCCAATCAAGAGAATTGATGTACCAAAATAACGTATAAGTATTTCATTTGTAAATGTACATGAATGATAATCATTTAATAAAAATATTGAAAAACTACTATGATTTTTCATTATTAACATTTTTGTAATTGATCAAATGCGTTATTCAGACTAATTTATAAAATATTTAAAATATTTTTTTTTTAAATTCTTTATATCTTTTTTTTCTACAAATAAATATTAACTAAAAGCCAAGATTATAGAAAAAAGTAATCGTTGAATGATTCAAGCATTCTCTAATCATAAAAGTTAACGGAAAAGAAATTATAATGTCTCCAAAATGCTTTTAACAAATCATTTTCTCAAAAAAAAGTCACTTAGCCCTTGAGCGGATATGATAGACAGTTTTGTCGATGATAATTTTCAGGAATGATGGGTTATAAAAGTGTTCTTCCAATAAAATATATGGTTAGCATCCAATCTTAGATTCAGTGCAATCTTAATGAACCTAAACAAATCTAGCATTCTCATTTTGGATGCCTTGAATATCAAATTAAAGAAGTTTTGGTTAATATCTCCATTAGTTTCTAAATAGATATTCAATTCGAATTCTTGTTGATGAGTTGTGTTGAAATAATGATATTTCAGATAATATAATAGAAAATGGTTCATACAACAAGAATTCGAATCCAACATATATCTAGAGTCTAATAGAGATTTTAAGGAAAGTTTCTGCTCAACCTATTTTTGACGTTATCTCAGTTTCGACGCTCACATAAATATGTTGCAAAAAAAAAGTTTGGCTATATCTGTAGGATTATTTTAGCTTTTGAGAATAACAACTGGCATAATGACTGTTGGATGTTCCGAAACTGACAATTGAATTGCTTCTTGAGGAACATCAGAAAAATCAATGTACAGTGAATAAACTTTAAATGAAATACTTTATACTTTCATGAGATGGAATCATACTTTCAAAAAAATTCACGATTCTGTTTAAAATTGTTCTAAAATTTAATTAAAATAAAAATAAATATACTAACCTCAAAAGAAATTATATAAAAACTATTATATATCGTCACTCATTAAAAATACATATTCTTTTTAATCAATACTTATAAAATAAATTAGAATGACTTATTCACTATCTTATCATGTATCTTCGAAAATCTAAACTGACTCGTGCATAAAATTCATTCGAAGAATAATATGTCTGTATATGCATTCATCAATGATGATGATGAAAGAGAGAAAACATATTGTCTCGCTCTTCATTTTTTTTTTGTCGCTAATTATTATCTTTCAGTATATACATTAAATATATAAGCAAGAATATGTTCATGAAAAATTATAGTTTGCCTTGAAGCAAAACATAATAAGATATCTGAATAGAACTGACGATAATGTTCATGATAAAGAAAAAAGTTTATTCCAATCCACAAAAATAGAAATAATATAAAGTATTTATTCTATTATTATAAAGATTAATTATAATGTCTATCGTTTTTTCTACAGCAGATGTACCATTTACAGAATCATTTTTTCTGTAAGGAAACCTTGCTTGACATAAATTAGAGCAATTTTAACCTATACATTAAAGCAAATGTTGTAAATACAAAAATCAGATAATAAATGAGTATAAAGACAACATCTAAAAATACATTTTCATGATTAGATTAATTTTTGTTTTCGTAATTGGAATTCTAAAAATATCCATCAAATAAATCATAGCGACTACGAAGATGTTCTATGACAACTGATGAACCTAGTAAGATTAATTAATATTGCATGTCAACGAAGCTTCTTCTAAAGTAAGACTCCATTCATTGTTTAGTTATTATGTTCGACATCTAATTGAATATCTTTTTGAGTTCAATTTGTTCAAATTTATGTTTCTCAATAAATAAGATTTATTGTTTTAGATCAAATAAAATTCATTTGTAATGTAATCATTTTGAAACACAATTTTTAATTATCTATTCAGTTATTGTTATATTACACGGACAAAGATGATAACGATTGGATCCATTTATTCAACGAATTTTTAGAGTTGTCATTGCATCAAACAAATATTCTTATCAATAATGATGGTCTCCTAAAGTATTGGTTCATTACATTCATTTGAATACTAATACTTAGAATGTCATAAACAAATTGTCAACCAACTGAATTTCCTATTATTGATGTTATCTGTGGAGTAGAATACTTTTAGAACGTTCAAAAATAAACTTGATTTGTTTATTTTCAATGATCTAATGATGTTTTTTGAATCAAAATCTGAATGACTTATAGGTGAAATTGATAAACATAGTTCAGCTGCTCATTGGTTTCGTTAATTATCAAAACAACTAACTGTACCATCAAAACTAAAAGCTATTCTTATCATAATTGCTAATAGGAAAACATTAGCTGTTCTATATATTATAGTGCTCAAAAACAATATACTAAATTTCTTTAGAATAATGATGGATTTTCAAAAGAAGCTTATCAATTAAAATACAATCAGTTCAGATGATTTAAATCTTTCAAAATGTATTAAATCATTACTTGAACAAGTTGATATTCAAGTTTAACTAGATGATCAAAGAAATTTTGATTATGAAGTTTTTATTTCATTAAAATTGAAATATTCACATACAAATGTTCCAATAGTATTAATGTCAATTCTTAATAATCTATCAGCAAGTCAACATTTAAAAAAACTCTTTCATAATTACGTAAAGAACAAGCTTTAATTATTGAATCTGACTCGTCTGTATAAGGATTTTCAAGTAACAGAAAAACAATCAGATATATTTATCGATGAATTAATTCAAGTTCTTATAAAACTAGATGAAAAAGAATGTGAATATATATTAATTAATTAGGATAAACAATTGATATATGCTTGAATAAATAAATCATCTAAATGAAAAAATATTTTATTCTATTACATTGTATTGTTGATATAGATTGTCCAGATCGTGAAAAATTATTTAGTCCAAACGTTATTAAAAAAACAAGTTGCTTTTAAATTCAGAACTTAAGTTATTCAATTTTTCGCAATAAAATGATATCTTTTTATCATTTTTCTTCTCTTTCTAACATAATTTAATTATATGTAAAGTACTCTCTCTGTATTATTTTTTTTTTATCATTAGTATCAACATCATGATGATGTTTAATGGAAGAAATTAATGGATAAGCGTGAAAATAGAATGAAAATTAACTGAGAAGGACTACTATATACATATACATAATAAATATCATATAGCCTTGAATGCTATCATAAATACGTAGAGAACGATATAAAATACTATATATTGCTTTTAATCACTATTATATATTTATTATCTATGTGGAAAAAACTTCAAAATGAATTGTGTCATAAAAGTAAATTTGATGATTAATAATATTGAATATTGTAGACATGATCTTTATTCTATAATTTAATTCCATAGATAAATATAGTAATTTAAAATTGATTGAAAAGAAAGGAAAAAGAACAACAAACTTGTTTATATAATATAAACATTAAGTGCTCCTCAGCAACGAGATAAACAATCATTGTTCTCAATGTTGTTTTGCAATCATAGTACGAACAACGAGGACACAAACGACTAATGAGCAATGCGAATAAGCTGTCTTTCGCCCATGGATATAACATCGTGCAATTTCTTTAGTCTATATAAATGAGCTTGATGAGATCAGCAAATCAGAACAGACAGTTTTATTTATATAGCAACAGCTGATAACACCATCTTCTGTGTATTGATGAGTGAGTATAAGAAAATGAATGACATACACGGTTAAATTGTCTGTAAATGGAAGTATGATGTAATATATACGAAGATATCTCAATTACTAACTATAGATATGAAAACATTCTTTTCTCGTATTTCTTATATAAATAATCATTAAGATTAATACAAGCTGTTTCTCAAATTTTAATTCAAATATATATTTATAGATATAAAAATTGACAAATATTTGAATTTAGAATAATCAAACTCATGAAATAAACAGATAAAAACTACTTCTATTAAATAATAAAGCCAATAAAGTGGTTATCTCGAAATTTTTATTTGCATACGTATTTTATAAAAGTATTTATATCTTCTGTTGTTCTTTTTTTTTTGACAAACGACCTTGGAGAATATTTCTAATAAAGTACCCGTAGAATTTTCAACCAATTGATTTATTCTCTAAGGATCATTAAGCATTTTTTATCATATAAAATTCGACCATAAAAACTAAATGTAACACCTTTGCTTTCATTGTCATTTTGAACGGTGTTCAATCGCATAGAACACTCATATTACTATGATTGTCGAAAGAGAAAGACAAAGAGAGAGAGAGAGAATATAATATCTCTACTCAACGACGAGACGATAAACTTTCATCAAATAGTATAACTCTCTATTCTCTTTCTTCTTTCGTGTTCTCTTCCCGTTATTTCCTCTGTTGTGTTTGTGTCGAGAGAGCGGAAACATTTGTTGCTTGTTTTGGCTTTCTCTCTTTCGCGCTTAACACATTACAACTCATTGAACATTATCATCGTCATTTTTTTTTATTCTTATTATCGATATAAAATGCTTATGAAATTACTTGTAAGTGCATTTGAACGAGCAAGATCAAAATTAACAGTGGCGCGTTCTAACGATCCGATTCGATCAGGTCTGTTAAATAAAGGTCTTATTCATTCTAATAATATTATTAAACATAAGGATAACTTCAATTGTGTTTTTTTTTCATAGACTCAAGTATCAAAATAACTAATATTGATTCAAAATCTAACAGACAAATTTCATCTTCAGGAACAATAATTATTCAACAACAACCTCGTTCATCATTATCAAAATGGTTATGTACTACACCAGCATCCATTGATCGACCGGTAAAAGAATTTCATCAATAACTTATTCATCTAATCAATATAAAGAATGACGTAGTAGATTGAACCTTTCTTTTTCCTTACGTTATTGTTATTACACATAACAAATGATAAGATGAAAAGTAATCATGCTCTGAGCTTTCATATGATGACAGAAATTAAAGGGCAAATACAAATACATCTTCCAACGAGTGATTAAGACAACTTGAATCATGTTATCGGAGAATATTTAAAGATATGTGAGCCATTTTCTTTTATGTTTATCATG